CTATTAAAATCTATTGTGAGAAACTGTAATCTAATTGTTTTAAAGCTAAAAACGTATGTCTAGTAACATATCGACCTTAGACAACATTGTTCTAATGTAAACTGGGTACAAGTTTCCATTCTCCCCTTGTGTTTGCAGTCTCCCATTCTTTATAATTTTTTTTTATTATACAGCATGTTTTTATAACCTTTCTAAAGCACCCTATTTTTTATAAGCTCTTTTATAAACCGCTTTTAATTTTTTGTTTTTTTTTGTCTTTCGTTTTTTTTTTTTACGCCTTCTTTTTGTTTCTAGTTATTATCCGTTTGATAAACTTATAAACATTAGATTTATAGTTTTGTGAAGGTTTTTATTGCTTTTTTTTTAAAGTATTTTCTAAGTTCTGTTTTGCTAAAAATATTGTGTTTGTAAATCTATTTTTTCATTATCGTGTTTTAGTTCAAAATTCTATCGAGTTAATTATTAAAATTAATCTCAACAATTTTTTGCATATGTTTTTCTTTACATTAGCTTAATTTTTATTTATATAAGGAATCAATCTAAGGGGCTGTTCATATGTATAAAAAACATCCCGCATAACCGGGGTACCCCGGTTAGGCGGGATGAATTTCAGCTGTGTTCATATGGAAAAAACATCTCGCTCTAGCGGGACGTTTTTAAGATCATGTGACATCTGTTTATATATAATCATTCGCGCAAATTATTAAATTAAAAATGGAAGTTAAAAAAAAAATAGTTTTCATTGCTACTACTAATGTAATAGAAATAGCATCAATCAAATTTTCTATCATTTCAGTATTCCATTTAAAAACTTGTTTTTAACTTGTTTTTTTTGCAACAGTCGCAATTTTTTGTTCGATATATTTGAAATAAGAAGCACTTATAAAATTATTAACTACTTTTGTTTCTATTCGTGGTTGAACGATTTAAACTTAAAAATTATTAAATGGTCATTGAATTTCTTAACAAAACTGTCCAGTCGAGCCGGGGTGATTTTCAACTTGTGTTCATATGAAGAATTTTCACCCCGCCTGACCGGGATCCCGGTAGCCCATAGGCGAGATCCCGCCTAAGCGGAGTGAAAGAATTTATATATGAACGCGATGTTAAAATTATAAGAGTTTATTAAGATAGGCGGGATACCGGTTGTTTTTCTGTCCCGGTTAGGCGGGATGAATTTATCCATATGGACAACCCCTTAACACGATTAACGTTTTATGACCTAGACTGGCATTGTTTTATGACTTAGACTGGCATTTGATGACCAAAAAAGTTATTAACTAGTGCTTTTTGCAATACAGTTAATAAGTATGTAATTGTAAAACTTTAGATTAAATATTTTAAATTAAAAGTTAAGATAATTAGGAACAGTAAGTCGGAATTAATAAAAGTTTAAAAAGTTTTTTTTTTCAATTATTAGGTATTCAATATTTTGTTTTTTGGCTACGCGTAGAAACTTTTTTTATAAGAAAATTTTAACTTATTTATTTAAAAATTAAAAGGAAGTAAAATGTTTTTAAGATATTTTGTTTTTATCAAATCTATGAAAGTATTTAGTTATCAAAAACCACATTACATTACGGGTGTTTTTGTATTTTTTTTAGCTCCCCTCAATCAACATATATCTTCACATAACATTGATTATCTTCAATTCACTTTCCGCTGGATGAATAACTTGCTTATGCGAGAGTTGCCTCTTAAGGCTTCAATACGTTTATGGGATACTTATTGGGTATTTATATTTACTTATACCATTTATATTAAGTTGTGTATTTTTATTAAATATGTTCGTTTTTATCTGATTGTGTTTTAAAATTAAAAAAACAAAAATAAACAAAATTTTATTAAAACAGACGACTATTTTATCTTTGATCAGGCGGAGAAAGATGGGTTTGCCATGTTCCATTTGTATGTTTGTGCTGCTTTGTTAAAACGTTTTTCAAGCGAAATAAAAAGCAAGACTGAATTTCAGGTTTGTAAGTTTAAAAAGTTATTCGATTTTAGTTTAGGTTTTGGTTATCTAAAAATGCCATCGTATCGATTTAAATTTTTGTTTTATAAGCTTTTGTAAAAAGTAATTTATATACCGTCTTCGATTTTTATTAGTTATATCAAGCTATCGGCTGTATTGATTAGTTAATATAAATTATTTTAATTTTTTGGCATGACATTTTAAATAAAATAGTAAAAATAACCTTATCTTTAAAAAAAATTTGTTCTAGGGTGTAATGATACTTCTCCAAAACCTTCCTTGTAAAGACTGGAATGACGATGATATTTCTTGTCTAGTAGCGGAAGCTTTTAGACTTCAGTTTATGTTTGCGGACGCGCCGAAACATCTTAGTAAAAAATAGTTAATATTGGCTCTTTTATCTACACCAAACTGCAGCTCGAAGGAACTAATTTTTAATCCCCAATTATTTTAATAAAAACTGTGGGTATCGACTTGAACGTGTTTCCATCATTGTAATTATCCATTCTAATAATGTTTCTTATAATGCATCGTGGTTTTTATATTTCCCTAGAAAAATTTTATATTTTTGAATAGGTTTCCGGTGATGTAAATATGTAATACTATATATATATATATATATATATATATATATATATATATATATATATATATATATATATATATATATATATATATATATATATATATATATATATATATATATATATATATATATATATATATATATATATATACTATATATACGGTTTTTATGTTTGTCTGCTGAATAATTTATTATAAGATGTTTTTAGAGAAAATATAAACATTAAAATTAAAGTGTTGGGCAGATTTAATAACATGTTGCTAACTAAAACGTAATAACCATTATAATAATGATGTAATATTGTTAGGTTAAAATTTTTTTTTGAAATCTTATCAAAAAATGACTATAATAAAATTATATTGCTAAATTTTATTGGTTTTGTTTTAAAGTTTTGTATTAAAATATAGTTTAATTTTTTTTTAGTTACTTTTTAAATACAAGCTACTAATACAGTAACAGTTACTATTAAATACAAATTTTTGCGCAAATTTCATATTTTATTTTTTGCTATGTCATCATTACTGTACTATGCATTTAGCCATACATGTTTTCAGCTACATCGCAAATTTAGTTTGTAAGCACCAGTTTCCCACGGCTTGATGAGTTTTGCACTGTTCCAATATATGCACTTCAACATTTCAAAAAAAAAATGTAAAATGAATACAAAACAAATATCATGTTAGAGCTAAATATTAATGTTTAAAAAAACGAATGTTTAAAAAATGTTTTAAAAAACGAAACGAATATTATTATTAATTCAAAAGTTATGCAACTTTTAAACCACAAAATTTATGATTTTTTAATCGCTCTATTGCTGCATTCATTCTTGTATAATCATTAGGGTTATGACTTTTTATTAACCCCATGCTCCTGTACGAACTTTTACCTAAAAAGCACCAAATGAACTATTATATGCATATCTTTTCAAAAAAGTTCACCCGCCATTGAAAAATTCAATTTTGGCATAAGTACTACTATGTATTCAAATTTATTTAGAATGTTATAGTCATGTAATACAATAAATTTTCAATCCAACAATGACTCGGACCGTTGACCTTGCTCTTGCTTGTTGTACAGAAAAAATCGAAGGTGCAATTTGTCTTTATTTTTTCATGATAAATAAATTTTCTCCATTATTTATTTTGATTGCAAGCTCTGCGCATTGATTACTTCTGGGTATCTGTAGTATGGATTTGTGATTTTTCAAAGAACTTAAAGCTTTTTGTACGGATTTAGTATTTCAGCCAAGTTATTAAAGTCAATTTCGTTGTACAGTTGGTCTGTAAACCAATGGTCTACCCAGCCATACGCTATAAATCAACATACTCTCTGCAGAACAGTCCTTGTTGAAGGATTTAAAATGAAGGCAGGATCGAATGTAAGGCCATAATTGTTTAAAGCTATGAAATTATTGTGTGAGTTTTAAAATTTATTGATGAATATATACTTGGTTGAGAATAGTAGAAAAAATATTTTATCAACTTGTTGCTCTCACGTTTTAGGCAGGTGTTGCTAAAATTTTAGGGCTTTTTTGTTTCCAGGCTCCAATCATCGTAATTTTTTGCAAAGCATCCTTATTTGATATAAGTATTAAACACATAAATTTTTGAAGTTTGCTCCATGTCTGGAAGTTAGGTATCTCAAACATCAAAAAATGCTGCATTCGCGCCTGTTATTGGTCCAGACATACTTGTTCTTCTGAATGCTACTATCGTTAGGCTTGTACGACGCCATGTGTTGCTTCTGTAATAAATATAAAATTAGATGAGCAGCTATATATATTCTAAAATGTTCTAGAATATTCCAGAATGTTCTAAATTGTTCTAGAATGTTTCAAAATATTTTCAATTGTTCTAGAGTGTTCTAAAGTTTTCTAAAATATTCTGTTATTTTGCAAAATGTTCTAAACACTTCTAATATATACAAGTTTTAAATGATTTGCAGGAAAGCCATACGTATTAGTAGTAGCAGTAACAAGATATATGACGTAATTTGAATTGCAGGGAGATATATTTTACGTCATTTATAGATATATTTTACGTCATTTATAAATAAATGACGTAATTTGAATTGCGGAGTGACTTTTTTTTACAACCGAGAGGATTTAACTTTTTTTTCAATGTTTTCTAATAAAATTTCATCAATTTTTGACACAGGAAATTAATTTTTTTTTTTTAAAGTAAAAAATTCATAACCCTAATCATCTTTCAGTCATAACCCTAAATCAAAAATCATAACCCTAATTATCTTTCCTGTAGCCGTATGATTTGTTGTGACAGATTTCTCTTATAGTGGTGCTGTTTGTGATGACACTCCATTGTGTTTCTTATCGCTTGATTCTAGTGGTGATACGATTTACATGTTTATCACTCTTTCACTGTCAGCCGTTATTACAAAATCTAGTATGTTTGTTTTCTATTCTCAATCTGAAACGTTGGTTCGGACACGCACTGGTAGAGATAATTTTCGTTTAAATTGACAAAGTTTAAGCTTTGTTGACAATTACCTGTGGTTCTATGTTTTGCAATAAACAAATAAAAAGTTTTTGTTTTTTAGGTTATTGATTGAACGATGGAAAAACATACACATCAAACTATTTTGTCGACGAAAAACGTCAGATCTTCTTTAGCCGTGTTTTATCGATAATTGGTGTTACGCTCTCAGATGTTGAATTACCTATTTAATGCTTTCACTCTCTCTAAAACCAGAATCTTCTTGAAAATTGCTTTCATAGATTGGGAGAAACTGATGCTTTTGCCTGCAATTTTCTGCAAGTTTTCTCGTCATTTTTTAATAAAGTCCTCCAACTTTTTTTGGATTTAACACCCCATTACAAAGAACACGGATTCACTTCATAAAACAATGTCTATCATGTCAACAATTGTATACGCTTGTATCAGATCTCCCTGAAATTGACGAGTTTTTTTTAAATAAGATAAGTTTAGTGGACTCAGAAGTCTATGTATGATAGTTGACAGTACTAAATGAGTATTAAACGAGTAGCTAATCTTAGTATTTTCTCAATTTTCTGAAATTTCTACAATGGATTGTTGACTGCTACCACGTAGTCTAGATGAGGTTGTACGACCTCATTTAGAATATGCGATAGCAGCCAGCAATCCATTGTCAAGAAGTTGTTTATAGAATTTCAAGTAATTACGTAGTGGAATGTACAATACTATATGCCTAGAACACTTTATTGATTGGTTAGGCTAAGTTATCATGCTGTTCAAGTCTGGCATAATCCTGACGCCTGTGTCACGTTAGACTAAAGTTAATGTAAGCTCTTGGCTGTTATTTTTATTTTATGGAATTGAGTAGACATAAAGACTGTTTGATTTACCTATGTGCATAATTTTACATTTATCAATATTGAGTTTCATAAGCCAGATTGTACACCACTCATCTATGTTGTCAATATCACTCTGAAGTTTGTGTGAGGCTAATGGATCATCAAAATGGACCAGCAGTTTTGTGTCATCAGCATACATTTTACACGGGTTGTTTGCGATATCTCGCCATGAATGAGTTCCACGTTCCATCAGCCATCTATGAGTTCAACATGCAGTATGTTGAAGCTTATGGGGTTTTTTTAAAAGTTTTCTTAGTCTTTTTTTAAGTAAATTTTTACATGTTTGATCCTAATACGGCTTGTTTATACTCTTTAATAAAAATTTATTGTTTACCCTCACAAAGACTGTCATGAAAATCTATCATGAAAAAATAGACTTAAAATTTTAAAATATTTATTTCAAAAAAAAAAAGTTTTTGCAAAGTGAAAATCTTAACACACTGGTTTAATAATTAAAAATTTAAATTTCAACCCTTAATTACTTCAATTAACAATTATCTTTATCAACAGTTATCTCTATTAATAATTATCACTAACCTTTTAATTATTTATTTTAGTAACTATTATCAGAATTTGACCAACCTTGACTACCTGACATTTTCTAACTAGAATATTTTTTTATTTTAGCAGTAAGAAGTAATATTTCTATACTCATTTTCATTACTTGTAAAACACTATGGGATCATCTTTTATAATGACATCATCTTCTTTTACTTTTGATCTGACTTTATAAGAAAGTATGTTGATTATATAATTATATTGATCTGATTTTATAAGAAAGTATGCTGATAAACTGTTGTCGGCTTCTTGATTATCATTAGCTTCTTCCTCTTGATTTTCATTTTAAAATGTTTTTTTTATTATTTGAAGAAATGCTCCAACAAATTTGCACAGTAATTCTTATTAATTTGTGCGATTTTTTATACCCTAAAATAGATTGCTGATTTTGTTAAACATAATCAACAATCTGTTGATAATCAGACAAAGTTATTGAAACATTTGTATTTTTCTCTTATATGAGTTAACTCATAGTCGTTTACTAAATAAAATTAAATAGTATTAAAGTAATTAAATAATCAAGGTTTTGAGCTATATGTATTCCAAATGAGCAAGGTTCTGCCAATTAGTTGATACCCACCAGGAGATTCCATTCCATAGATGCATACATATATCTCCAATACCAACGGCTCTCTCAGGAGTAAACGTACGGGCTGGATTATACTTCGTTGAAATTATTCTATGCCGTGGGTCATACGGAACAGCCAGTGGAGCTCCTAAATAAACATCCTCTAAACCTTATTCAATGTAGGTTGTGTCAACTAAGATAGACGTTAAATCCTCTAACAATTTAAAACCATTTATACTTTGTACAAAGTTACAGTTATCCGGCAAATATGCGATGTTGATGTTGCAGATTGTTTTCTTAAATCTGGAAATAGCTTGGAGACTCCAATAATCGTGAAAAGCCAAAGGCTTTATTATATGCAGCTTTATTATATGCAGTATTATATGCAGCGGGTGATTAATAAATAAATATATATTTTTGATAAGCTTATTATTGGTTCCTTTCGGAGATTCATTAAAAACAAG